GGATATTGACTATTGGGGTCAGAAGAAAGTCTAAGCAAGATATCAGATTGACGAAGGGCATGCAGATACACGTTTGTTCCAGGGACACTGTATAGATGAGCTGTGTGCTTTTATGATGCCTGCCATTTTGCAGGGAGGAACCACATAAATCTGAGGAAATGTGGCTTCTGATTACTTGCCTTTTTAAAATTCACTACTGAGGCAATTCCCTGCAACTGTCAGGATTCTGAACTATAAAACTGATGGGCTGAATTCCTGCACACAGTAATTTGCACTCAAATCCCATTAATATAAATGAAATTTAAGTGCACTTAACTGTACACAACATTGCAGCTGAGATTCGCATGACTCCAAATGGTGTAGATTTAGAATAAATGGCAGCTACAGAGCAATATTCTGAAATGGTCTGATGTTTGCTGGCAGAGCTTTCCTTCTTCCTCATTTGTTCTCATTAGGGATGCCATGAAAGGTCAAAAGAAGTTTCTTGTGTGAATACTTCTGAATAGAAAGAGGAAAGTAGAATTGGTACGCCTTCTTGCCCCAAGTACTCTCTTTCTTCCTCTCCACTGTTGTCAAATGCTGGGTTGTTGTTTTGTTTTGTTTTTTTTTACATTAAGCCAGGCATGGACAAACTTTAGCCATCCAGATGCTTTGGAATTTGACTACCAGGAATCTCAGCCAGCTTACCAGCTGTAGGAATTGTGGGAGTTGAAGTCCAAAACACCTGGAGGGCCCAAGTTTGCCTATGCCTGCATTAACCCAAGGATGGAAGTCATGCCGCCCCCCAAGATATTTTGAGCTGAAGTTCCCATCCTTCCTCACCATTGGCTATGCTGGCTAGGACCAAGGGAACTTGAGTCTAGAAACATCTGGAGGGCTGTGTGCTTACCCCCTTCCCTTTCTTTAACATGTAATACCAGTTTTAGCCAGAGTTAAAAGTTCAGGCAGGAACAGACTTGAGATGCCTTCAACTTTATATGGAATGCTGTTGTCTTTTAACTGTTCCAACTGGATACAATAATTTGCATCTTGTTAATAGTACACAGGCATATGTGCTTTTGTGGTCAATGTCGAGGTTGATATTATCTTTCTCTTGTTTGTAGCAATTCTCAGAGATGCACCTTGTGATGTCCCCATACCTAGATGCTAAATGATTATGTTATCCTCTGAAATCTTCAAAAGACTCCACCAAACATGGAATGACCATAGGGAAGTGTCTTAAGCAGTTTCATGGGTCAGTGATTGGCCAGCCATAGCAAAGTTCCACATGTGAAATTACCATTCTTCACTAACCTATACAAGATTCTACTAAACTTTGATAATTGTATAGCCTTCTATAATCAAGTGGCTGTAGCATAAATGTATATACATTGATACACATACTGCCTCTCTCACCTAGTTTGAGAATGACTCCAAAAGTACACAAGGGAGAAATCATATGCAACCAATGTAACCCAGAAATATGTCTGTGCTGTATAGGCTAAGCTGGTTAACTGTGGCTTCCCTGCCTGACACTGAGCAGACCTTCCTTAAGGGATATGTTGTATAAACATTCCCTGCTAATGCCTTAATCAGAAAGTATGAACAAGCTAGGTAAGTAGTCTGTATGTGTAGTATGCACCTAAGGGCTTTATAGCTGTGGAGGAATGAAACAGTCTACTGCCTAGTTGACACCACATGAAGAGGAAAAGAGAAATGAACCATAAGAAGTGCTACAGTCTCGTGTCTCTGCATAAAATATGGCAGCTTCATTGGTGCACAGTTCCCACGATGTGGTTCCATAGGTAAAGTGAGAGATACACATCTAAACCTAATGGTTAGTCCTTTTCAAAGTTGAATAATTGAAACCTGGTAAAGCAACAGTTACGTCATTTCAATTGGTTCACTAAATTTTGCGGGGTGGGTGTGATTTAGACTATGAATTCCTAGTCTTCTATGGCTGAGGGCTGATTTGTAAATCTGATTTCCATTCTTATTCTGATGCGTTGCCATTGATATTAAATTTGATATGCCTATAGATTCATTGCATTTTGGCATTTTATGCATAATAGTAAATTCAAACCTCCTCATCTGAAAATGCAAAACTCCCCTTGCAAATTTGCCTTCAAAGGGCATCAATACCTTGCCGTTGTCTTTCTTGCTGTTACTTTTCATTTTTCTGGTTTAAAAAGAACGTTTTTTTATTATTACAAAAAAGTTTTGTAAATACACAAATGTATATGAAAATTAAATTTCCCATTTGCTTAGTGAGACCAAATTAAATGTCTCCTGATACTTTATAAGACATGATTTCTAAATAAAACTCCATCAGTAGAAGTCAGGTTCTGCTTTCTAATCAATTCTTCTCTCAGGGGATGAAGGAAGCTGGACAGCCAACTTTTTACCAATGGAATATAGCCTTCATTTTACCCCAAATCCCTTGTGATCAACCAATTGTTCTATGCATGGCGAAATTGTTTAGATTTTTCACCAGGATCAGACATTTATTACAATTTCATCTGAAAGGCATATTTGATAACAATAACACAGTGTGAAGGTAAATTATAAATGCATGGGGGTCTGATAATGAATTAATTTTCTATTATTACTTTCAATTTGGGGTACTGTCTAAGGCCCTGACCTTGGTTGAAAACAAAGGGAAAATATAATGATGCAAATCTTAGTGAACATTACAAACTTGTTCCAAACAGGTTTGCTTCACCAACTTAAGATATCTTCTCAATAGAATTATTTTCTTAGATGCTGTGGATATCTATTTAAAAGTTTTTTTTCCCTGATGTTAATTATAGAATTCAGCTATTGTTAATTTGATGCATCCTTTATTCTGTGCCACATAAACCAGAATCCATGTATTCACCACAAACTCAAGTACACTGTACTGTCCATTTGAATCCATGGTGAGGAATACGCTAGCTACTCACTTCTGTCTTCAAGGTGTGAGTTCCTTCGCAAGGTAGAAGGAAATAACTGGTGGGGCTTGCCATAATCTCCACTGGTGCCCTACACCATTTTTAATAAAGGCTTACTTAGAATAATAGAGTTGGAAGATACCATATGAACCATCTAGTCCAATCCCCTGCCATGTAGGAAAAGCACAAAGTACCCCTGACAGATGGCCATCCAGCCTTTGTTTAAAAGCCTCCAAGGAAAGAGCTTCCACCATACTCTGAGGCAGAGTATTTCACTGTTGACTAGCTCTTACAGTCAGGAAGTTCTTTCTAATGCTCAAGTGGAATCTTCTTTCCTGTAAGTTGAACCCACTGCTCTGAGTTCTAGTCTCCAGGGCAGCAAAAAAAAGTCTTCTCCCTCTTTCCTACAAATCTTTTATAATATTATATGTGGCTATCATGTCTTCCCACAACAATCTTTTTTGCAGGCTAAAAATATCCAGCTCATTAAGCCGCCCCTCACAAGTCTCCAGATTTTTGATATTTTGGTTGCGCTCTGGATACATTCCAGCTTGTCAATAACTCCTGTAAATTGTGAAGCCCAGAACTGGACACAGTATTGCCAGCGAGGTCTAACCAAAGCAGAATAGAGGGGCACCATTACTTTCCTTGGTTTAGACACTATATTTCTTTTGATGCAGCCAAAAATCCAATTGACTTTTTAGTTGCTAATCACACTGTTGGCTTATGTTCAACTTGTTGTCCACTCAGACTCCCAAGATCTTTTTCAAATGTATTGTTGTCAAGCCAGTCTCTATTAAAATGGCATGGGGCAGCATACTTGGCAGTAAACCCTGGCTGCCACATATGCTGTATTCTTCAATTTCCCAATTTCCAGGGAGCCCACCAGCCACTTGCTTCTGCCTTATATCTTAAAGGCAAGTGGAGACAACTGACTTGTTCCCTAGTGCTGAGGAAGCTCAAAGAACGTGGTGTGCCCAGCAGCCAGGGCTTCTCACTGTCTCCAATTGGGACCACTGTATAGATTATTCCTGTCTAAAATCCTGGTATCTACTGGGGATCCTGGAAATAATTCCTATCACATACTGCGGGCCCACTGTATAGATTATTCCTATCTAAAATTCTTTGCAAATTTTCAGTCTCTCTGATTTTGTCTTTTATATTAGAACTTTGAACTATCAAAGTTAGGTACTTGCTAGCAAAATGCTAGATCCCAAGTGAAGTGCTGTTGTGTGCACTTAAAAGAAAAAGAGAAAAAAGATGTTAGGGATTGTTCAGGGGATGGGGGAAGAGATGCAAGCTTTGGGATGTGTAATAATTTTAAAGATTATTTCATTAAGTTTTGTTTGTTTGTTTTATTAGCATACTTGTTTCTCTTTTTTGAGGAGTGGTCAATGGGTGTAAGGGGAAAAGATTCCACACTTTGGTTATATCAACTTCCATTAAAATCCACTGAGTCTTTAATATGAATTTTATTTTTGTAATATATTTTTCTCTTACCTGTTTCATATTACTGTATCCTTGTATGATGAGAACAATACTGACATTGGATAACAATAGATGTTCCCTATGCACTGGAGTTTGGTTCCAGTAAACCCTCTCCCCATAAATCCATGGTTGTCTGTGCCATTATATACACCATTGTAGTAAGATGACATCCCTTGTGTGATCTGTAAGGATAGCATTAAAATATTCTCATGTATTTTTATATATGTTTCTTTACTTGCTAGTATTTTGCATTATTTCCTATATAGTGCAGCTATGGCTGCAGCTATGCAAAACTTCCCATCATCCCATATCTCTTTTTAGGTCTTACAAGAACATATATATATATATATATATATATATATATATATGAACAAATCTAAAAGATAAAATTATTTGCTTTCATAGCTAGAACAACCCAAACACACACATCACTTACATATAAAGGTGATCAGTCAAAGCAGTACAGATATTGGGAAATGGTCTAGTTACTTTGGCATTTTCAAGCTCAGTAAACTTGATGGAAGCATGGCATGAGCATCTGTTTTCTCCGCACAGATACATTCTATTTCAAAGTATATCTCATCATTGACTTTCTGCTTCCAGGTCTGTAAAGTTGTGAATGCAACCACCTTGACTTGTCTGGCTCCCTCACTCACCCCAGAATACCGACCTGGCTTGGATGCTGTTGAACGACCTGATGAGTTTGGCTTCATCTTCAACAATGTTCAATCCTTGCTGATTTATAATGACACCAAGTTTATCTTCTACCCCAACCCTACCTTTGAGCTTCTCAGTGCTAATGGTATCTTGGATCAAAAACCAGGCTCACCTATTATCCTGAAGGTAAGAACAAGTAATATATTTAGGTTCACGAACTTGGATTATTTGGAATAATCACCTTCTGGGACAACACTGTACTATTTATTTATTTATTTATTTATTTAATACACTTATATACCGCTAATATCTCAGCCTGGAACGGCGACTCATTGCGGTTTAACAACAGTTAAAAACAATATACAAATTAAAAACAGCAACACTTAAAACAATACAAATTATTGGGCCACCAATAATAACACCATGCTTCTCATCACAAAAATCACAGTCCAGAGTTCGTCATCCATAGTTAACCAGTCCTTAGTCCATAGATTCGGTGGTGACAACTAATTAAATGCTTGATTACACAACCATGTTTTTAATCTCTTCCGGAAGACCATCAGCGAAGAAGCTGATGTACTATGCAGAACATCTTGGTATTATTAGAAAATATGTCCTTGTGGATTTATTGTATAGAGTCCACTTCACACATTTAGTTTTTTAGGAAAAAAAGGTTAGGGTCTGTAGTGTACATTTGGAATAATCAAGTACAATGCCAAAAACAGAGGTGGATAAATACTGATTTTTTTTTTAGCTGACTACAAAATTCTCAAGCATAGTGATTTTTTTATTATTAGGAAAAACTTAAAAGCTTCAATAGTACTCTGTTGCTATCCACCTGTCTTTACTACCTCCTAGTTCTTTTTCCAAGTAAGACAAAGTGAAAAGAGAGTAAGAAGGCTTTTGGGGTCCTTCTTAACAGGAAGGAATGAGTGGTAAATCTGTAGTCTTCTAGCCCGCTCCAAGTCCAGGATTCTATTATTTTTTGTCAAGCAGAATTCTATCAGCATTAGAACACCACATTATAAAGGTCTCCTGCCTGGACTGGCTCTATCTATAGGTGCTCATTTCCTCAGTGTCTGATTCTGCAGACAAGACAATGTGGATGATACAAACTGGTTAGAAAAATAGCCTGTGCCTTTTCAACAGGTAATTTCCCAAGTCACTATAATGATTTTGAGCAAAGGAAGATCTGTGAATAAACAAACATGTATTGAGAGCCATGCACCATGGGACCCTCTTCTTCTGAGGCACTGCCATTATTGCCTCAAAGACATTCATGTCTCTGCTTCTGCTTATTTAGTAAAATGCCTTTTGGATATTTTCCTGCACAAGCTGCAAGAAGGTCAAACCACTCCTGGAACAGTCTGTTCCATAAGTGATTTGCCCATATGGGATCCCGTCCAAATGTTTAGCATCCAAACAATTGGTTATACTTCATGGGATTGATAGGAGTTGCATTGCAGCAGTATTTGAAGGGCAACAAACTCCATGCTCACATCCTACAGTCCAGTAAAAATAAATGAGAATGTCAGAACTTTAGAAGATGACATTTCAAATCTCCTTACAGTGCAATTATACTCTTCAATAAGTCACACTAAGTTCTTTTGGGTTTATTACCTGGTAGGTAGCAATAATTTTCTTAGCAGCAGAAGAAAGATGGTATATTAATTAATGTATATTTTATAAATATTATATTTTAAATTATAAGTAAATTAACATAGGATTGCAGCCCTATTTTGCACATTTGTCTTTAACATTATGACTGCAGTTTTGCCTTCATCCTGACTTGACACATGTACCTCTATAACACAATAACTCATGATTGCAAGGTTTCATGAGTCTTATGTATACCTGCTGAATACATCCACAACTTCTTCGATGTGATGTGTGAAATGACCATAAACTGCTTTCTGAGCAAGTCAAAGGAAATATATTTTTGGTATTCAACCTATCTACTAAATAACATAACTGAGCACAATTTTAAATACCCAGTACTTGCTGGACATTTGTTTCCTTTCCTTGTACAGCTAAACTTACCAGCCTTGAATGGTTGCTTTCTACCTGTGAAACACTCCACTTTATGAACTTGGTATATGAATTTCTACTAAACCCAAATAAGGATTAATTTCTAGTATTGTATGTGCACATTGTATCAGTGTTACTTTTCTATGTCCACATTGCCTGGGATCAGAATTGTGATTGCAATCAAAGTGTTCTTTTAAATATGAAGATGTACATACTAGAAAGTGGTATAAAGATGCATAGTGCTTATTTTTTGTTAGTGAGGATGGGATCCAGTGGATACAGTCTGGAGACAATGTTTTTGGTGTGTGTATACTTGTTTGCTACAGGACAAATGGGAAATCTAATAAAACTAAATAGTTTTCAAGGTGCAGCAAGCCTCTTTGCTCATTTTGTTGGAAAACATTCACATAGCTAACTTATCAACATATAATGATGTTTTCCTATCCCTTTTGGAATTTATAGTAATGTTCTGTGCTATTAGTCATTACACTGACAGACATGATTGTGTTGGTGGTAGGTCTTGTCATGAATTTCTGCACATGAAAAGCATGACATTTAAATCTTCGATATAATTTTCTGGAATATCAGACAACAATTCATGATGACTAGTCTGTCGCCCACCAAGCCAATATGTCTGGCACAAAAAGACTAGTATAATTTCTGTCCCACTTCTAAACCTTTAGAGGTAATTATTGGTGTTCATTATCTTTTCCTCGTTAATGTCTCTCCCCTGCCTATTTTGTTACTACTCACAATGAGAATCTCCTACTTGCTCTGGTTTTCCTAATCCCTCCTTATCAATTATGATTGTCCTGGATGTGCCATGTGTGATGTATAACCCTTATGACTGTTCACTCACTCTTAAACCATTTCAGGCTGTTAGCAAGCTCTAGATGTTTGCTCTATTAGACCACTTAGTATACGTTTTGGTAGATTATTAATCTGCTTTAGTGCAGAGGTGGGAAATTTGCAGCCCTCCAATATGGTTGAATTCCCAGCATCCTTTATTATTGGCTATGCTGGCAAAAAATTTCCACAAACTGAAGTTCAATAACATCTGGGGAAGTACAAAATGCCAGCCTCACATTTAGTATTTGATTTCCCTCCATGCTACTTACACTTTTACATTATATTCCCAACTATATGAGGTGTGGAAGGCTAAACCAAAACAGCAGTTAGTTGCCCTCCTCGCTCTTAAGTAATTAAACCATACATTGCAGATAATCCTGCTGGCCTTGACCTACATTTGAAAAAGAAGTAGGTGGTAGCAAGAAGATAACGAATACATATTGTCCTCATAGCCATAATAGGAATATAAAAATCGATTCCTAAATGCAGAAGTTGCATGCCTTGAAATGACACCAAAAGATGAATGTTCCAATTCATTCATCATATTGAGCAACTGCTTATGCAAATAATACCTATCGGGGAAAGTAATACAGAGATGTTTGAGAAAAGGTTTCATACAAATAATCTACTTGCAATGTGTAGCAATGCTGAATTGGTGGTTATGAGGTTATCAGAAAAAACTCAAGAACTCCATATATTTTATTAGAACCTTCTCTCCCTATTTCCCACAGGGTAAAAATCTGTGCCCTCCAGCTTCTGGTGGAGCGAAGCTGAATTACACTGTTCTGATTGGAGAAACCCCTTGCGCTGTCACTGTCTCTGAGACCCAGCTGCTGTGTGAGCCTCCAAATCTCACTGGACAACACAAAGTACTGGTGAGGTCAAAATATCAGACTTTTCTGGTCCATCTTTTGTATTTTCTGATGCTGAAGTGTTAGAATACGATTACATGAGGGATGTAAAGAATTTAGACACACATTTCTCATCCTGTTTTTCATTATTTATTATTATTTTAGGACATTTTTGTGGAAATAAAATTGTTCAGAAAACATATTTTTGCTTAAAACTGGGCATTATTAACAGTTTGAGTGCAAATGAATTGAAACACAACAAGAACACATTAAAATGTGCAAAAGCTCTTGGAATCTCATCAATAAGTGAACATTTACACCTCTTCTTTGCACTTGTTCTTATCCTAGCTTAGGGGATGGAATAAAAGGGCATAAAAGGGTTATAAATCTTAGGATTTTTTTAGATATGCCAAAAAATTGAAATTAATCTTCTTAATGTTGTGTTTACTGAAAGAATGTTGTGCCATTTTCTAAATAAATTTCTAAAGAAATAAATGAAGTTGATATGATGATAGAACAAAGAAAGCTTTATTCACTTATATATGTAAACCTATGAAAGCATATAGAGCTCACCACGGTAGGTTGTAAAAAAGCAATATTGAATTTGTAGAATGTTTGCACAAGCATACATTGGCCCAGCATGAATTTTTCATGAGAATATTTAGTAGCATTGGTTAAAGCAGATTAAATTTTTCATTGGAAAGGGGAAAATTCTGCAATTGTCAAAAGAAAAAAAGTGCTGTCATACCGCTGAGCTTAACTAATTTTATTGTAGGTAGAGTTCTTGTAGATGGTAGAGGATATGAGTAGCTGTGAAAGATTCCCAGCACAGTTGGAAGCAGACACCTTGTCTCAGTTTATAGTAGTGAAATCTCCAGCAGGATAAGGCTGTCTGCCAGATTTTATACATCTCAGCAAATATAAGGGCACTCACACGAGATACATCCAAGAACAAATGAAATATGATGAGAGACATGTAAGAAAATTGCTACAAGAAAAGGAGTGCAGACACGGAAGCTAATTGTTCTATATATTTTGACATTTCTTGGTTTATTAGAAATCTGTTCCTCTAAAGGTCTGAAATGCTCCCTTATCTCCCGGTTCAGTTTATGTTTTATCCCACTTCTTCTTGGAGCTTATATGGAATATGCTACAGGTAATGACCGTATCTGTATCACCTTACTTTCTGAAGTAACAAGGACATAAAGTAAGGCAGCATCAGAATTGTTTTAATGTGACATCATGCCTGCAGTCTTTCTTATGGGTGGGCGTGCCCTCTGTTTTTAATTCTGTTGTATTTTTTAATCCATGTGTCAATGTGATTTTAAAATTGCATTTTAATTGTAAGTCGCATCGAATCCTCTGGGAGATGCTAGCGGGGTACAAATAAAGTTTAATAATAATAATAGTAATAATAATAATAATAATAATAATAACCATGTTTTAGCTGAACTTGTTTTTAGTGAGTTTGAGTCCCATATTAGGAGAAAAGCAAACTATAAATGAAATAAGTAATTAATTAAGAAATTGGGAAAATATTTAATTGTGGGTTGTAGTAGGTTTTTTGGGCCATATGGCCATGTTCTAGAAGTATTCTCTCCTAATGTTTCACCTGCATCTATGGCAAGCATCCTCTGTGGATGCCAGTGATTCCAGCCATGAAAGCCTTCGACAGTATATTTATTTGTGACCTGAAATGTTGCTTTAAGAGGTCATCAAGAAGATTTGGGTGTATTTTCCTACTTTATAATAGTTTTTAAAATAAAATAAGGTATTGGTAACATATTATCCATAAACGAATATGTAATGGGGGTAACATTACAGTTTTGAATTGCAAAAAGGAGAGAAAAAGAACGGATGTGAATGTGTTACTATTTAAAAAACATAATTCCTTGTTCTAGTTTTTTTCTTACTTAGATAATGTCCCATTTAAGTCATTTATATCACCACAGGGTATTGCTTGCAAATGAGAGGTGGTGTTATTTACACAAGAGGATGAGCCTTGAATACAATGGCTGGCCTTGTTAGTTCCCCTAATACTGTTCCCGCAGTGTAGATGAAGCACGGAGTGAGCAGTGAGGTTTGTTGTAGGGCTAGATAGATTCTTATCATAGTATGTCTCATATTCCAATGCTGCAGGTGAATGACTTTTTCACATTAGTGAGCCATCTGTTTCTACGCCTGTCACCCTGTCATTTTTAAGGAAAAGACCTGTCATTTTTTAGAATCCATTCTAAGTCATTTAATGTGCATCACGGAGGTTTCAGCTGGCAAGTTATAACTGAAGGGTTTGTCTTCGAAATTTGTCCTGAAAGTTTTTGACTTTTGCAAAGTGCCTTGTGTCCTTTTTTAAAACACATCTTTATGCTTCAATTAAATGAGCCAGAAAGCAGTGGGAAATGCTGCTGATGGAAATGCCCTATTCAAAAGACCTTCTTCTGTGAACAACATAGAAAAGGGGAGGGGGAGAGAGAGAGAAATAAAAGAAGTGTCTTGTGGAACGTGTAAAACAGATTAGTGCAAGATTTCATGGATTACACTTTCTCAGATGCTTACAATATATGTGGAGTTCAGACGGACGGTTTCTGAAGAGCCTCAGGCAAACTTGCATGATGCTTTGGTCGCTGATCCTTTTCAGCAAGCTTACCCATTGAACAGAACAACCTTTAAAGAAGGTGTTTTATTGGATCAAGTTTTTAAAAAAAAATTATATTTAAAAGATAACTGAAACTTGAATGCCTACATTTTTCACCCAAAGAAGACAATTAAAAGTCTTTTTTTCTCAGAATTTAGTAAAAGTCATTCAATATCATACTATCAGGTATTTAGAAATAACAGCTCCCTGTTTCAATAATGCTATAGCATATTTCTCCCCAGCACCATTAATATTTGCATTTACCATAAGCTATTACAAGTACAGAAAAAAACCTAGTTTTCATTAACTGTCTGTCTATTTATCTGCTGCAATACCACGGTCTCTCCCATGTCCTGTCATTCTGTGGCTCCTTTTGTTTTTCGCTCTTCTTTTCTACTTCCACTTTAAATGTCTTTGTCAATGAAATTGTCATTCTGTCTCTAATGTCCAGGGTGTACAAAAGGGAGAGCTGAAAGCCTGTGAAATGAAAGTCAAATGGATCCATCAGATAATCAGAACAAAGCCAGAGATAGTGCTGGGATGACGTATTTATCACAACTTGAAGCTTTTTCTGCGTTTCAAGTAGACTGTGCCCTTTCCTTCTGAAAACAGACGCTGTTTACATGATCTTGTCTACAACTTGGCAGTCAAACAGCATGCTATGTCTTCTGAAGGAATCTTTGGTGCTTGGGGAATGAGTTCCAGAACAGCAGTGACATGGGCAAGGGATCCCTGTCATGTACCAGTCCTTGAAGTCACACATTGCTTTAAATAAGATCTTGCTAAAATAACTACTGGTGCAGAAATAGGGTCATCATCAACCATGTCACCCCCAATGAATTGGCATATAAAAGCAAACAAGCAGAGATACAGTTAGAATCTATATTGGAAATATTCACATGGGTAGTCCTTATTTTAGAATCTCTTTTTCTTTCTGCCAAGTTACCCAGATGTTTCAACCTTCTGTATTTTGTTTGGTTAGGTGCACGTAGGTGGCATTGTCTTCTCACCTGGCTCAGTAAACGTGATTTCTGATAGCCTATTGACCTTGCCAGCTATTGTCAGCATTGCAGCAGGAGGGAGCCTTCTTCTCATCATAGTCATCATTGTCCTCATTGCCTACAAGCGCAAGTCTCGTGAAAATGACCTCACCCTCAAGAGGCTACAGATGCAGATGGACAACTTGGAGTCACGAGTGGCCCTTGAATGCAAGGAAGGTCAGTTCAACCACTAATGAGGGGACTATTTGACCAACAGTGTGTGTATGTGACCTTCACAAAGTGTGTTCCAAAAGTTTGTACATCATTAATGTAGGCAGGCACAATGTATTTGAAATAGATTAAACTTCTTGGCCAATGGTTTTTGTTGCATTGACACTACCCAATAACTGGTTTACACAGTTAAGCAGAAATGGAAATTATATGAGGCACAATTTTTCCCCAGTGTATACCTCCAAGGCCTTGCCTGTGAAAATACCATGGATTATCCTGCTCTGGTGCATTTTTGCTATCAGAAATGTTCTCTACATCCTGTGTCACTACCTTTGCATTTTATAAGGAGACACCTTTGAAGTAGGATTGCCAGAATAAAATCTAGAGACGACTCCTGAATCTTTTAAGATTGTGGAAAAGAGACAATTTCAGCAGATGTCACTTGTCACACAACCAGATAAAAAGCAACACCTGCTGAAATTCTACACAGCCTTTAAAGGTACAGGAATTGCCTCCCTCCACTTTTTATTCTTGCAACTCTAGCTTGAAGCTTTTCAGTAGTTGCTATTTGTTCATCTATGTCCCCATCCTGAAAAAGTCTTTTTTACAGCAGTTACTGTTATTTGTTTCTCTTTCCTGTGAACAGTCATAAACAGCCAGAGTATAAACCAACAATTAAAATCTCACCCATTTTTTTTAAAAAAGGATGTTGTCCAATTTTTAGTTGTGATCAACAAAGAAAAGCACCACTATTCCTTCCCATTCATCCAGCAGACATGGGCGTGGGTGGAGCAGATTTGTACTCAGGGTGCAGGAGAGCAATACGGTACATACCCATATCTGAATCCTCTTCTTTCTTCAATTACCATTAACTTTTGAAGCAGACATTCTGACATAAGAAAATAACTGAAAAGAAATTCTGGCTCAGAAAACTTCTGTAATAGTGCTATAGCCCTGTCTTTTTTGTTCTGATTCAAGCTCTTTTGTATCTGTTGTCCACCTTTGGTCAGTTTGTGAATGAAGGAGAATACATAGTTGTTTCAGAAGGTGTGAAACTATTGGAGGCTACCATACTATGATAGGGAAGTCCCTGAAATCATGATCAGGCCACATTCTTCATCATAGATAATTGCAGTGCATCCAAGATATATTGTCCAAGATACCTCTTTAATTTCCCAAATTGATTTACCTAATCTATTTTACCTCCAGTGGTAGAGTTAGGTTCAGAAGTCTGATTGTGTTCTATCATATCATGTTGAGCTAGAAAACTAACTGAAAAGTAGGAAGCAAGACATGAGACAAAACACTTTCTCTCTCACACACACACTCTACTCCATAAAAAGTGCAGCTGTCACTATAATGCATTTCTGGCCTCAATGCCATTGCTTACAAGGAGCTAATCCACTTCACTGCTTTACTTAAACTATTTTCATCTTTGCAAGAGGAATAACAACTTGCTGATATACCTGACACACAAACCTCCAGTGTCAGAAGAATTCAAACACATTCAAGTAGAAATTGGCATATTGAGGAAAAGCCTAACCCCCTATGGTTGACTGCTGTTGTGGGTGATGTTGGTGTTAGCGTTATTTATAGTCTGCCTTTTTTTCCAGACTGGGAGTTAAGACAGCTTTCAAATGAAAATAGTTAATTATATAGAAAGTCAACATTAAAATAAAAATACGTACATGACAATATTAAAACAATGTAAAAGATAACACTTAAAGTGATTTTAAAAGAGCACAGTTTCAAATAAAACAGTATCCTTTGTGGTGTGGTAGAGGGGATGGGGCTTTCCATTAAAATCTTTAGTATTTCTTTTTTTTAAACATTCACATTGTTCAGTATCACAATGGTAAGAAATGAAGTAAACATCTCAACAACAACAGAAACTACTTGTCTGATGAATACAAAAGAACCAAGGCCATAAAGAAATGTATACCATGTATAACAATATTAACATAACATTCAGGCAGGCACAATTTCATCAAACACAGGTTTTAACCCACTTCTCTCTTGCCACCATGAAGTTTTCACAGTTATAATTTTACTTCAGAGAGTTTGAGGACCATAACTCTGGCTGAAACAATATAGGGATGGAGGAAATGCTGTCAAAACCTTGCATAGAGGTGGCAACCCTAATACATTGGGTGTGAATGCCACTAAATATAATAATAAAACTTATAATAATAATATAAAAACTTTATTTCTAGACCACCCTCTCTCCCCTAAGGGATTCAGAGTGGTTTACACATACAAAAAGGCAAGCATTTAGTGTCTTGGGTGAGTAGAAACATGTCAAAATAATATACAATAAAGCAACAGTAATAACAGTGCGCTTATGACAAAGAATTAAGCATCGTGAGGAAAAACAAAACAAAACAAAAGACATAGTTAACTATTTATTTATCCTATTAGAAATGAACTGAGGGTACAGTTGTAATGTATTTAAAAACACAAAGTTTAGAAACCTGGCATTATACTAAATGTTCTTTGACCAGTAGCTGGCCACTTGGAGTGCCTCTGGTGTTGCTATAAGAAGGTCCTTCATTGTGCATGTGGCAGAACCCAGTCTGCATTGTAGTAGGTGGTTTGTGGTTTGCTCTTCTCCACTCTCAACTTGCAGAATATTAACTAAAACATAAGTAAACATTACAACAAATACCCTAAAGGTAATTTAAAATACAGTTACATTAAAAATGTCTGGCACCATATAGTACAAGTGGCAGGCTAAAACCCGGAACCTCCTTTCTGGGCACACAGAAGACTGGGRGACTTGGGAGGTGCTGAATAGACTGTGCTCTGGCACCACGAGATGCAGAGCCAACCTTAAGAAATGGGGCCACAAAGTGGAGTCCACAACATGCAAGTGTGGAGAAGAGAAAACCACAGACCACCTATTAAAATGCAGTCTGAGTCCTGCRGTGTGCACAAAGGAGGACCTTCTTTATAACAACAACAGAGGCACTCCAAGTGGCCAGCTACTGGTTAAGGCCCATTTAATATAATGCCAAGTTTTTAAACTTTGTGTTTTTATAATACATTACAACTGTACCTTCTATTTGCTTCTGATACGATAAATAAATATTATGGGGATTAATATCAAGTAAACATAAGCATTCATAGAACTGGAACACAAGAACATGGCAAATCCTACAAATGGCCATTTCATCCAGAACGTGTCCTCATATATGCATACATTCACCTAAGCACACCTGGCCAGTCTCATATAACTTTTTCATTTTGATTTAACAGTTCTCTAGTACCAACAATGTCAAGTTTCTAGTTTCCGTGGTAACCGCCTCCTGCTTACCCTGTTTCCTTTGATCTGTTATGAATTTAACAGGGCCTGAGCCCACGTACAGCTGTCAAAAAAACTATGGTCAATCTCTCTCAAACACACAGGCTCATAAATGCCCTCCTTTGCGGCAGAAGAGGATCAGCACTCTCTCCTAGTGAGGGAAGACCGTAACCAATGTATTGGATACAAGAGGTATCCTTTGCCTGACTAAAGTGTGGAGAACAGGATTAGCACTTGATCCTATTTAAAGGACTTGTACAGTTTGTCAGTGCCAGGTCATTAAGGCTAGCTGAAGGCTGACCTTTTCTGAAAGGTTTTCCTGTGGATGTTTACAAGGAACAGGATCCACGAGCCACACCAGATGGAAAAATGTGTGCCCCCCTTGCTGGTCAGCAGAGTTTAGGAAGAATGGGAGTAGCTTTTTACATGAAAGTACTGGTTCTCCAGTTCTAATAAAAAACAAAAGAAAATCAATCTCACAGACTGCTGATAACTGTCTTACAAAGGTCTGAGTTTTTACTTTCCCTTTCTTTCGACAATATAAACAGTCCGCACATGCAGGCACTCCATAGCTTATTAAATATTTCCATTTTATCTGTTAGCAAAATATTAAGAATATATTGAGGGAAAAAAGACACATGTCTCTTGTTTAAATATTTACTTGGCCAAAAAAGAATGTAACATTTGCCAGATACTAAATATTTCAGACTGGATTCACCCAGCATGTGTTCTAGAATGCCTGCGTATAGTAAAAGGTTTTCCATATATGTTCTTTCAGCATTGTTGTCTGTTGGAATGTAGTACACTCTTCTCATCATATTAGTGCCATTTCAGACAATATGGAATTGCTGGTTCTATTTTAACAGCCAGGGCAGCACCCTATCCAGTGATGACATTTGCAGTTCAGGGAGGGATATTTAGAAATGCAATACGGATTGCTTTCTTACCTCTAGTACAAATCAAAGGGTTCCATGATAGAAATAACATCTAAAGTGAAAGCATAATCCTATAATTGTGTAGCATGAAAGAGCTTCATGTCAGATGCTTCATAAGATGTGATCATAGCTCATGGCTGAATGTCTTGTTCATGTTGTGTGCTTTTTAGTTATTTCTGACTTATAGCAACTCTAAAGTGAACCTATTATGGGGTTTTGTTGGCAAGATTTGTTCAGAAAGGGCTTGCTTTTGCTTCCTCTGAGACTGAGAGAGTGTGACTTGTCCAATGTCACTCTCTGGGTTTCCATGCCAGAGCAGGGATTCAAATCCTGCTCTCTGGAGCATAAGAGAAAAGTTTAAAGGAGCTTGGCATGTTCATTTTACTGAAGATACAATTGAGAGATGTCATGATCACACTAGCTCAAGCGCTGCCACATAGAAGAATGTGCAAGCATGATCTCTGCTACCTAAGAGGTCTAATGGTTTTCAGTTACAGTTACTGAACAGCAGACATCTTGACTGAGAGCAGTTTGGCAAGGGAACCAATTCCTGAAAGAGGTGGTGGGTTTCCTTTTCTAGAGGTCTTCAAAGAGAGGTTGTTCAGCTGGGGATGCTTCAACTGGAGATGCTGCACTGAGCAGGGATTGAACTTTATGACCCATGGGGCCCCTTCCAACTCCATGATTCAAGGAAGTAGGTCCCTGCTCATATTGACCTTTGCTTGTTTCTCCTGTTCCTTCTTATCTTTATTAGGGAATGTAAAAAAAGCAACAGGGGGCAGAGATGCCTTTCAGGTCTTGACAAAACATGTCTTCCCACTGAGATTGTACTGGGCTATGGTCCCAGACTCCTTTGACTAACTCTAATCATGTTTTAGGCTTATCCAGTTGATGTTGATGAACAGTGGAAGAGTGGGGGATGGCAATAGATACTTTGTAAACCCCATAGAACTTTTTTCCTTATCAAGAATCACTAGAGATGTTTAAAAAGCCCAAATCTTTAAAAGTGTTTACTTTGAAGACTTACGTAACAGTTTTCACGGTGAGCACCAGGATGATTTTGCATCCTTCAGGTTAAAGTGATCACAACTATATAACTGTCTGTGTGTGTGTGTGTGTGTGTGTGTGTGTATATATCCTTACTTACTTACTTACTTAGGCAATTCCTCATAGTTTGAGGATGATGGTCCTCCAAGTCCAGTGTCTTGGCGGTGGTTTCTTAGGTGGCTGTGGAGCCCTATTCTTGATAGGCATGGTCTCCCACAGTGAGGACATTGGGTGGTGATGTGGCATCCTTGAAGTCTGCTGGGATTATCTCGGTCACCCACACTTTTTCAATGAGATGGTGGAGTTGCTATGTCAGCTCAGGTCCACCTCCTTTAAAGATTTCAGCAGGGATCCCATCAGGTTCGCTGTCTTTGTTTTTGGTTTTTTTTTATGGGGGATGGTGGGGGGGGGGTTGGGGGGTTTTTTGGCTGATGGCATTGCTGACTTCTTCCAAACAAGGCAGTACTGCAAGGTCATCCCTGGTTTGATGTAGTGGGATTTGTGAGAGAATCCCTTCGGCCACATTGGAGCTGTGATTCAGGAGGTTTTGGTAGTGCTCTTTCCAATGTAGTGCAATTGATTTTTTGTCCTTCAGAAGTTTGGTTCCATTTGTTGAGTGTAAAGGGTGTATGCCATGGTTTCTTGGTCTGTAGATGACCTTTGTGGCTTCAAAAAATTGCTGAGCATCATGGGTATTTGCAAGGTGTTGGATTTTTTTGGCCTTCTTTGTCCACCAGATGTTCTTGAGTTCTCTGGTCCTTCTTTGGACCTCAGCTTTTGCACTAGCATAGATCTCTTTCCTAGCAGCGTGGTTGGTGTCTCTCTGCCATGTTTGGAAGGCTTTCCTTTTCTTATGAATCAACTGTTGGATCTCTTTGACATTTCATCAAACAAATCTTGATGTTTCTTAATTTGATATCCAATGGTTTCTTCGCAGGTTGTGATGATGGAGGTCTTCAGTTTGTTCCAATGTTCCTCAACATTGTTGGGGTGTTCTATCCAACTATATAAGCATAGATATATATGCATATATATCTAGGAATGCCACACTACTAAAATGGCTTTGAGAGATTATAGCTTCCGTTGGAAGGGTGAGGAGTCAAAAACAGTAAAAGGAAAAAGGACTCAAAATCAGAGTAGTCATGCTGGATAAAAATGCACAATGAAGAATCAAGACATTTCTCTTCCGGCAGTACAACTGCAAATCAAAAGTGATTTTCCCCTGCAGTAGTCATGGATAAGCCAGGACCTAGAGGGCTTTTCCTAAAATACATTTAGAACCTTGGATTCTGAAAACTAGCTTATGTAATTATCGGGTATCTTCTTATTGTAATTTGCAGGTCTTATTCATCCATAAGTAAGATAAGTTTGATGTTGCCTCCAAGGCATGGTCATAGAAACTGAACTGTAACAAAAGCTCCTGCTTCTGTCTTGTAATGTTCCAGTGAGTGCAAAGGCGCTGGCTGAAAATGACAAGAGTTTGTAAAGATTGCTTTTCAAACAACAGCCTCCAGAATCTCTTATTCAAAATAGCCATATGCTGAGTAGAGATTTCCTTGGGTTGGTATCAAGTAACTGTTTGGAGCTCTGAAACTGACAAGCATTAGGATTTCAGCTCTAGATTTTCAAACACTGATATTATTTTATTGATATGTTAGTTGTCCAACCTGAAAGTCAAAAGTGACCACTATCAATACACTTTTAGGTGTCAGGTTAATTATCCAATGGACAGTGTCTATAAGAATGTTGCTGGAACAATAAGTGGGGTTTATGTACTAATGCTTTATGGAGAGCTAGGTTTAGGAGAGCTAGGTACAAATCCAACCTGTACCAAAAGGTACATTTACAAACAAGTACATGATCAGGTGTCTTAAAATCAATTTGTACATTCACAAGTATACATATCTACTGTGTGTGTTATGTAGCATGAATACAAGTACTATACCACAATGCCTCTTACAAAGTAAATTGGAGGCACAATATAGGATGCAGTTATATGTGTGCAATGTTTGAGTCCTTTCTCAATGTAAAAGACAAAGGGTCTGTTATGCTGTTCTGTACTGTGTTTGTTAATACCTATGGTGGATCCTGTGAATTTTCATCCTCTCCCTCCATATATATCTCGTGATGTATAGCTTCCACATCAAAGCATTTTTCCCCTGCACATTGGATAATGCCATCTAAACCAAGAAACATTGGATCCAATTGCTTGTACTAGCTACAGCAAAGAAGCACAGGGAGTGGAAGGAGTTGGTGTGTGTTAGAAAAAGCTGCATGGCACAGTGATTTAAAAATAGGATCTTTATTTTTATGCCATGCCTTTCAAGGCATTTTCAGTGCTTACACACAAGGTGTGAACAGAATACAAATTAGCAAATGTGTTTTGTTCTTGGCATCTGCTCTTTGCATTGTGTGTGCTCCTTCTCTCTCACGCCTCTCTCTCTAGGATGCTGTGGAAGTGGCTCCCAGCTTGGGGGCATATCTGAGTGACATAGCAAGATCTAGAGTAAATGAGCTTCCATGGTTTGGCTCATTTGCAGTCCGTGATTGCTTGTACCACTACCTCTGTTTCCATTGCTTCCCCCTGATTGTCTGTCTTTCGCCCTTTTCCCCCTTCTAATAGCTTTTGCAGAGCTCCAGACAGACATCAATGAGTTAACCAGTGACCTGGATCGCTCTGGGATCCCATACCTTGATTATCGCACATATGCTATGAGGGTCCTCTTCCCTGGCATTGAAGACCACCCTGTCCTACGTGAACTAGAGGTAAAAGGATACCTGCACCTTCCCTTGGTCTCTGTCTCATCAGGTTGCTGCTGCTGCTGTTTCTCAGGTCCCCTCTGGGAAACTAAGATTAAAACCCACACAGCTGTGAAAGTACCTTTCTGCCTCCCACGCTGAATCTTATTAGAAGTGCTGGGCTAAGCACAATGAGTGCTGAAATTCATTATAACAAAAGCCTTGGAGTTTTTACGTTTTACACATAGTTTATTTCCTCTTGATTTCTTCTGTGTGGCTTTTGTTCTGCCATCTTTTTAACTCCCTCTCTCTTGCTAACACTCCATGGCAGGACCTGCATGTCCAGCAACAAACCAGCTGCATTTGCCTCCAGCAACTGTTGAAATGTGCCCTGAATTCGTTCTTTGTCAAATACAAAACCACATGGCGAGGAGGGGCTGGAACTGAGAAAATTGCACTCAGCTGCCCCAAGAGGAACGAGCTTCTCATTTTGCAAGGAAGCTTGCCAAGCTGTCTTCATCTTGTCCTCTGCTTGGCAAAGCTATTGTGTGAGAGAGACCTTGGTCACATCACTTCAGCTTTGTCTGCACTGCCTGCTGAGCTTACCAACTGTGCCATCCCATTTTTTGAGGTAGCTCTCATATAGTTCAAACAACAGCAGAAGCAGATGGGACCCATTCTTCAGTGTGAACATGCTGTTGTTGGCATTTCACCAAATAAAAACATAAGAGGGTTATACTATCAGTGGCATTTTTGTGCATTCCTTATATATGATGCTGGTGTGGGAGCATCAATTTGGACACATCTATGGTTCAGCAAGCCACAGGGATGTCCTGTGATAAAGTTTGCTTGCCATTTTTTTGTCCCTAGTGGCTAATGTGCAAACATTTTCCTTTCTGTTCTCTTTTTAATCAAGTTCCTGCTGTAAAAGGTAAGACACTTTGCAATCCATGCTTCTTTCCACCACACAGCTTGCAAAGAGGTGACATATGATGGCAAAAAGAAGCCACGATCTGCCTTTCAGGTGGTCTAAAAATGTTTCTGTCCTGCTATATAGTGTACACAAATGTGAAATTCTGCCAATAGCTATGTAATTTATTGATCAGGATTTGAGGTTCTTCTCTAGGGCTCTAATTAAAACAAACCTGGCAGCTGCTGTTTGAAGCTCCAGTAGTTGTACTTTGAATGCCCAGGCTGGAAGGTGAAATCTCACAAGTGAAAAAAATATTGTATTTTATACATTTCTGGCATCATTTTCAATGTTGCTCTTGCAAACAAACATTTTTGCAATGCCTGAGAACATCAGCATGATGTTTTGTGTAATTCCCCTTTCATTTTGGTGGCCCTGCCTCTAGGAAATGTTCTTAGACTTAGAGGATAATATACTATACTTCTTTTTTTTTTACTAGTCAGTCAAACTACATGCATAACAACCTTCTCACCATGTAGAAGATGAGGTGTAAACTGGCATAAAAAGTCAAAAACATACACAGAGCTGAAACTGGCTGATTGAAGATTCAACCAATATATCTTTTATATTCTTTCTTAATGTAAAACATTGCTCTGTGTAGATGATAATACACTGTACTGAAGGGAAAATGCCAAACACATTTATGTAATTTTGCTTATATTCTTCTGAATACAAAAGAAGGTAATAATAAAAGAGTTTGGTACAAGTACAGCCATGCACACATGTTAGCCAGACCCACTTGTCTTTGAAAATCCCTCTCACTTAAATCTTATAGTCTGTTTATTAGCCATTCATAGTCTAAAACAAGTGTGAGGAAACTTTGACCCTGATGTTTTGGCTACAGATCCCATGATCATTGCCCATGATGTCTGTTTTTGGGAGGTGAAATCCAAAACATCTGTGGGGCAAAATATTTTTCATTGTTGGTTTAAGACAGTGGTTCTCAACCAGTGGGTCCCCAGATGTTTTGACCCTCAGCTCCCAGAAATCCTAGCAGCTGGTAAACTGGCTGGGATTTCTGGGATTGTAGGCCAAAACACCTGGGGGAAACAGTTTGACAACCACTGGTCTAAGATAATGGCTCCTTTTCTTTGGTCCTCCAGGTGATTTGGACTTCAGTTCCCACAATTCCTAACAGCTGGTAAGATGGCTATGATTTCTGGGAGTTGAAATCAAAAATACCTGGAGGACCAAAGGTTGAGGAACCCTTGGTCTAAGACAGAGTTTCTCAGACTGTGTTCCTCCAGTTGTTTTGGATTTCAGCTCCCAGAAATCTCAGCCAGCTTACCAGCTGTTAGGAATTGTGGGAGCTGAAGTAGAAAACATCTGGAGGAGCACAGTTTGAGAACCATGGGTTTATAAGAATGTTGCCTATACTATAGAGCAGGCATGAGAAAACTTTAGCCCTCCAGCTGTTTTTGACTTCAACTCACACAATTCCTAACAGCTGCTAAACTGGCTGGAATTTCAGCCTGGAGGACTGAAGTTTGCCCATGCCTGCCATAGAGCCTAAGACAAATCGTGGTTTAGTGGCCATGGGTTTTCTACGTTTTCTACTCTGTTCAGGTGGAGAAAGTTCCATTCTCTAAGGGCCCTTCCCCATAGCCCTATATCCCAGAATGTCAAGGCAGAAAATCCGACATTGAGTGTGGACTCAGATAACCCAATTCAAAGCAGATATTGTGGGATTTTCTGCCTTGATATTTTGGGATATAGGACTGTGTGGAAGAGCCCTAAATTTCACAAAAATGTTTCAGAACCAAATGTATCAAATATTGCTCTGTATCAGTTGTACTATGATCACATTTCAGTGATACAATGTTGTGATTTGAATACCTTAAATGTCTTTTCAACAGTATCTAACAATCAGGATCTCTTCCAACTAGATGCTTTTTGAAGTTTTCTTTGAAAAAATATAAGGGCTGAAAGCCTAACAGTCAGTTTTATGTTGTATTATGACTGGTTTGAAGTTCACATTTATCTGTAACTTCCCTGCCTCCCAGAATAAGGATCAATTCAATGAGCTATTTACATGGATGCTAATCACCGAAATTACAATTGTGGAAATTGGCATTTAAGTAGCCAGGCTCTCTTTGCTTTATGTCATGAAATTGCAAGTGAATATTGACATTTGATATTTATTTAGCATTTTTCTCCACTCTAAAAAGCTGTTGCAGTAATGAATGCACTGCCAATTACACAGCCGGCTAAATACATAATATGAATAATCTGAATATGTAAGTCATTGAAAAGTTTGGTAAAGAATTGTATTTAAAGTGCTTTACCATTTTGATTCATACAGAATTACTTACAACCAAAAGTAATTAAAAGGATTGGATGTTTGGGATTTGCTTGCTTGTTTAGTTCTGCATCAAAGTAGAAGTTTATACTAAATTAGTAATTAATGTGCCATGGATAAAACCACTTCTTTGTAACACACATAAAATTCAAATGCTACTTAATGAGCCTTTAACCTTAGTATAAAGACAATGTGGCCACTCATTCCTGAGTCTCCACATAACCCAAGCGCAAAAGCCTGGAATTAATGGAACTCTTCTTCATTTGATTTGTGAGGATAATCTTTGCTTCTTACAGGTCCAAGGGAATGGACAGCAGGGTGTTGAAAAGGCCCTGAAGCTCTTTGCCCAACTAATCAACAACAAGGTCTTTCTGTTGACATTTATTCGTACCCTTGAGATGCAGCGAAGTTTCTCCATGCGAGATCGGGGCAATGTGGCTTCCCTTATCATGACAGGTCTTCAAGGCAAGCTAGAATATGCCACTGATGTTCTGAAGCAGCTGCTATCTGATCTGATTGAGAAGAACCTGGAAAACAAAAATCACCCAAAACTCCTTCTGCGCAGGTAGGATTGGATGGGGAAAGTGATTTTATGGAAGGTGGAATCTTGTTTGTGGTTCAGGAATGAAATTGCCCTGCTGGGTAAATTTGAGGGATAGGTAGAAATATGTTTGGTTCCCTAGTGCTGTTGTGGTCACCAGGTTGAATAGTACCAAGTTCTGCAAGACTCCTTTGTAATACCATTACAGTATGGTCATAGAAAATTTGACATACATTTGATATAAAGCAATTTTTTCTTTTTGTTTTGTATGTTAAAGTGAAAGGAATTGGACCTCTACTGTCCATATTAAGATTTTAGAATACACAGTGAAAAGACTGAACAGCAGAAAAGTGGCAGTAAATGTAGCAGACATCAGAACTAGCTAAGAAGAAACAGTGGAGGAGCAATAAGACTCAGACATAATAGTAGCAGAAAAACTATCTTGCAGTACTAAATTCAACTGATAATATTCCAGCCACAGTTGATGTTTTGGTCCTCTTTCCTGTTTATGGATACCTATTGTTGAAAGACAAATAACATAAACATTTTAAGCTTTTTTCTGAATAATCTTTCTGATTGAACAATCTGTTTTAATTTATCTATCTGTAACTCAGTCTTAATATAATCTCAATTCCCAGTTTATGGGCCTGGTGATATTTTACATCTTTATAAATGACTTAGATGGTGGTATAGAAAGCATGTTTACCAAATTTTCAGATAGTTTTAAATTTGGGGGAGGGGTTCGCTAATATCTCAGAGGACAGGAATAGAATTCAAAATTATGTTGGCAGAGTGGAGAGCTTGGCCAAAACTACCAAAATAAATGTCAAGACCAATATATTTAAGGTGCAACATGTACCAGGAAAAAATAAAATGCATAAATATAGGATTAAAATGAAAGCAGTATTTGTGAAAAGGATCCAGGCATCTTAGTAGACCATAAAATATATATGTATCAATGAGCAAGATGCAGTGGCCAAAAAACCAGTCTGGGCTTTTTTGACTAGTGTATAGTTTCTAGACGGAAATATTAGTACCACTTTTGTCATGTGTCTGAGATCCTGCAGCAAAAGCAGGGGTTGCCATTCTACTAAGACGTATCAAGAACAGAGCAAGACCTCAAGAGACTTTCTCAATCTTCTTTCTCAATCTTCTACTAATTACTTTTTCATGCTGGCTTTAGCATTTGTGAAACTGAACTAGGGATCCTTCACCTGACCTGCCTCAGGAGGGCTTGGAGGTCTATGTACTGTCAAGGAGCAACTCCATATGGGGTGACCCTAGGTGACAGTAATAAGTAAGAATATGCAGTGGAGGTTTTGACAGCTTGACAGTTTAAATGCATTGCTCAGCATCAGTAACCTGACCCTGACCTGCAGGGACATTATCCACCTTACTCTACATTTTCCAGATGTCAGATTATTTTTCATTCAGGCTCACACCACTTCTAACCTATGTGCCTAATTTCCCTCCCCCGCTCAAAAGAAATCTAGTTATTGTGATTAAACCACATCAGCTATGTAGTCTACATTCACATGGGGTTTTTATATTGGTTCAGATGTATCTGTGTTAGAACAGCTAGTTTTTGCAAGCCTCTGAGCAACTATTCTGAAGTTTAGGCCCATTCACAATTAGAGAGTCCTGGGAATTGCTGTTTAGGGCGGTGGATTTAAAATTCTCTGCAGATAACACCAGCTTGTCTACAGACTATAAACCCTAAGATTCCATAGAATGCAGCCATAACAGTTAAAGTACAACCGTAATGCTATAATTGTCTAATATGAAAGGTGTTCCATATACGTTTGAATTATAGAAAAGGGTGAATGGAAAGTACTGTGGGTGGCAGACGGTACATGGTGAAATATGCAGTGTTTGCATGACCCACTATGTTTTTGCAGGAAAATTTCCCCTTTACTATCTCTCTGAACATAATGAGCATGGGGAGTGTTAAAGGCTAGAGAATTACTGACTACTGGCTTCCCTTTAGGAGGTCTTCTGTCTTGACAGTGTTTGTTTTCTACAAAGTCTTACTTATAGCCACTCCTCCATTTTTTTCCTTAAGAAGATAGTAAATCCTATGAATGTCCTTGTTTTGTCTTCTTTGTTAAGGAGGGGAAGGAGGAGTGGGACTGGAAACATTTGTCTACCAGACAGCAGTTAAATAAGCCAAAAATCATATCACATCACTAGGATTGCATCCCAAAATCTTCCAGTAGGCTTATTCCTTGGGCTTCTCAATACATGCCGAAAGAGATTACATATGCAACCCACAGTTATCTGTTGTGAAAGATTTCCTCAAAAAACTGTTCACACATACTTAGAACTTGATACTACATTTATTATAGAGTGTAGGGAAGCATCCAGTATTCCATATCATCAGTTTTCATGGGATTAGTTTGAATTTCTGGGTCTTGATAATGTGGACAAGACACAACAGCTTGACTTTTACTCATCTTGTCTGTTAATGCCTAGCAGGAGGGGGTTTGACTGGGTAAGTTCAGGGAGTGGTAACTGCCATATTATATCAGGGAGAAGTACATGCTGCCTTAAAGGATTTCACCGAACCTAGAGATTTATGAGAACTCCTCACCTATTGTAAGAATTCCCCTTTTTGTCCCAGATGTTTGAACATATGGTGGCTAGGCAACTTCAGACATTTCAGGTTGGTTTCAGCCCAAAGTATGAACTGAAATGGCTTTAGTTGCACTAATTGAGGACTTACTCCAGACAAGAAACAAGGGGAGTGCTACTTTGTCATGACCTTGTTGATTTCCTTGGATTTCTCGGTGGCTTGGTACCATTGACCATGGTAGGTTACTTGACCAGCTTTGTGAAATGGCAGCAAAAGACACTGTTCTGCAATGTGCTCCTGTCTAGAGGACCAGTTTCAGAGTATTCAGCTCCTGTCTAGAGGACCAGTTTCAGTGTATTGGAAGAGTCCCATTCAGCCCCATGGTTACTAAGTGGTGAGGGCTCCAAATTATCCCTCATTCTATTCATTCTATATGAAGCTGAGGTCATCAATAAATTTAGGGTAGATCAACTGTGACCTTTCCTGGAAAGAGATAAGCCAATGGGTGACCTTGGGTTATTCACACTTACTTAATCTCAAAGGAATTCAAAGGCACCCCTTCCCCCCAAACAAATATTGCTAAGAAAATTGCATGATAAGTCCACATTAGAACTGTCATGTTGGAAACAATTGTTTTCCACATGCCTTAGGATTGAAGTCTGCTGGAGGAACCATCCTTTTGTCCCACTAGTGAGATCAATGTGCAGTGAAATTAATACATTGTGTTGTTTCATTAGTTTTGGTTTTTCTCAACCATGTCACTCTAATTATGGAATACCCTCCCTTTGGAGTCCTGATTATCATCAATATTCATTTCATTTAAACACTGAATGATAACATGTCCATTTACCAAAGCCTTTGGGCCTCATTAATTGATCTTAAAAACTGGTGTACATAATTTAGCAAGATTTTAAATCTTTGATTATGTTTGTTATATTTAATCTTCTATTATGTGTCTATTATTTTTATTATGTCTTGACTAATGTAAATTATTTTTATTGTTTTAAACCATTTAATTTGGTTTTCAAATGTTATTTATAAGTTGCCTTGAGATCATTTTGACATAGAGTAAGTAGAAATATTTAAATACATAATGTGAAACTACTATTCTACTCTGAATACAGCCAATCTCCTTTGATTTTGGAAGCTAGGCATATTGGACCTGGTTAGTACTGTTGTAGGAGGCTATTGGGGAATACAACTGTAGAAATAGCATTTTCCTCCTCACCACCAGACTCATATGGTACAAACTGGACATTGCAGTGCAACTGCTGATAAGCTTTAAAGAGGTTAATCATATATTGGAGATGGAGCCCCGGGTGGCACAGTGGGTTAAACCCCTGTGCCGGCAGGACTGAAGACTGACAGGTCGCAGGTTCGAATCCGGGGAGAGGCGGATGAGCTCCCTCTATCAACTCCAGCTCCTCATGCGGGGACATGAGAGAAGCCTCCCACAAGAATGATAAAAGCATCAAATCATCCGGAATTCACCTAATTTATGAAAAGGAGCATGACCATTATGAAAATCTAGTTAGTAGTTTCATTGCACTGCTTTACATAGAACTGCAACACATGACTAATTCTCTATTCAGCAGTGATTTTGCAGCAATCTATCCAAATATAACAGCTTCAAAAAAGAGTTGTTGTATGAAGTCACTGAATACTATTCTGCAATGTTACCTATTCCGTTAAATATACAACGGGAACTTCCTCAGGGGTAAAAAGACCTTGTGTGAATTCATTACCATTTTCTTGTGTGGATAAATTGCAGTTTTCTCCATGGAAACTATACTGTGACAGAAAGATCTCTAAGTGGCATGTTGCCCTTCATATTTTCCGCAAATATGAGTCCCTTTAATTCTCTTTGCCCAGTATCATGACAAGTGCAAAAATCCCTAAATGAAGAAATGTCAGCTCCTCTTTTTGCTAAATACTCAAGTGGACCAGAAGTTGCTCCTGGATGTCCAAATAATGTTCAGTGAGTACTAGTCCTTAATGTAGGATAAACCAAATAGTTGGGAAGTGCTCTGGAATTTCATTGAAACTGGTTTGTTGTCTACACAAACCAATGTTATCATCCTCTTTTCATTGTACTTGGCAGAACAGGGAAAAGGGGATAAATCTGGGCTCCATCAACATAGCAGATGACTACAGAACTCTGGAGAGCTCCTGGCCATAGCTGTTCACCCAACAAGGTTAGAAGCTCTTTGAAGCTTTATAGCCATCTGCTGCAATGATGGGGAAAATAGTAAAGTCTATCATGACATGGATTGGCCCCAGATTTTGTGGTGAGTGTTGCTGAGCCTTCTCACACTACATCTGACTAGATGCAGATATTTTGATTTTGTTTGGTTTTGGTTTTTTAGATAGACATACATTACACAAGTATTTCATCTGCAATGTTTGGTGCTTTGTACTAAACCTGACATTGTGGACATTTTCTCTGAGGCAA